AATTCCTCTTTTTGCGAGACGCCAATCAAAGTTGCTCACATGCATTGAGACGGTTTCCATATGATTGCTGACAACTCCGGCTACTTAATTTGATTTTCTCGCTAACCTAAGGACGCACGTAGATACGCCCTCATACGCTATATAGTGACCGTAAAAAGTTGGGATAAGATGGATTGGCGGTACCTTAACCGTGACCGTAAGGTGTTGTTCCACTGTACTAGCTCCGTCACATTGAAATTAATACTTCTTCAGTATAAGAGCTTTTCAGTTAGCAAAAACTACGTGATATAACTCATCTATTGACCTGCGCGACAGCCTTCCAGGGGATCAATTTTTATGTTACGCAACGTAAAAGCTTGGAAATTCAAACGTGCACTATTACAAAGCAAAGAGACCTGTCGAGCTAAAATGTGCTAAAACGACAAACGTTGTTAGAAAGTCATATATCTGATTAAACTCAAACCTCAGATTTCAGTTTTGGAATATGATCACGTCACATGAAAACAAGCAATTGAATGAATATTTTGGTCCTTTTGGACCTAAAGTATCAAAAGTTACATGCCGAGTCACATACGAAAAGTAAAGCACTGGCTAAGTAGGGTTAAGAAAATTGCTTTCAGCTTCTTGTATATCGTTTCTTAAAAGGCGGCGACGATATATTCGATCCAAAAACTCTCAACTTGGCTCATGTTTCGAGTTTCTCACCTTGCGTGATCGGCAACTTGTTGTTGCGAATAGTAGAGAGCGGGCCTACTTTGTGCAACAGATTTTGGCTTTGCTGCTCGTTCATCAAACTCACAACTTGTCACGCATAAAATTTGCTCACATTTCGCGACAAGTTGAGGGTTTGTGTATCTCTTGAAGTAGTCTCTTACAACATGAAGCCTTCCATGTTGCGACAAAAACAACCATGAATTCGGATAAAAAACAACAGGAGCTACCATTGGCTACAATGAAATTATCTGTAGCCAATAACGACTTGCGTTACAATTTGCGACTACCGTGAAGAAACAAAAACTTCGACCGAATTTCTCACGCGGATTGCTGCGGATCCGCCAAATAATAGTAAGGATTTGGCGATTTTGAAATGTTTACATAGGTTAACAGCGATGTTCTATTCTGCAGTCCAGCTAACTATCTTTT